CGCCGCCACCGGGCGCATCTGCCACCGCGGGCGACGCGTCTTCTCCAGCACGCCCGCGTGCGCGCGCCGGCCCGCCCGTTCTATGGCACGGCAGCGGGGGCGGGGGCAGTGGCGGCGGCGGTGGCAGCGAGCTTTTTGTGGTGGGAGGCGCGTCCCACGCCAGATGGTGCTGCGACAAAGTACTCCCATTCATTTCTCTAACGCTCTCCTCGTCTTAACCGGCTCGCGATAAATGAACGCGTTGAAAATGCGAAATGTTCGAGTCAACGCCTTGTTCTTTGCCCTACCTTAGGAGGAAATGCTGGAAATAACTCCTAACTTAATTCGGTCATTTTTTTTCTTCTTTCTTTCACATAACCATCGACGTTTCTCGAGTTCGGCGTGGGGCTTTGCCAAGTCTATGAGGATGTATTGACGGAAAAAAAATACATGTTTCTTACGCAATTATTGGCATGCACACGTTCCGTTCGTAATTTCCTTCGCGCATCGACAAGCAACTCCGTGAAATCCACGGTACTACAATATTGGTGAAAGATATACGATGGAAGTGCTGAAAACGAGACGTAATATGTTACGTCGAATTACCAAATTGCACGGGTGTCGAACGATCGGTAACCAATTGAAGCTTGTATGTACAATTTAAGAAGCTGCCTGCAATCGCCGAGACCGACGCCGGCTCGTTGAATAACAGTCCGGTAGTAAACGAACCGCTGAGTATTACGGGTAATGAAATTTACGTTCAGGCGATGGGGGGGGGGGGGTCGCGACGCCGAGCGCACCTCGAAGTTCGCCAGGGACTCTGTGCCCCACAGTGGCCGCAAACTTAAGTGTAAGTGGTCAGGTACGTTCCGCATGTTCGCAGCTACACGGCATAAGTTTTCTACCAGTCTGCAGTCTGATACGTCGACTGATTTTCAAGTCACGAAAACGTCCGCACAAACATATGAATTTATGAGAAGAAAAAACGCACTAAGCTACGAAAGTAACAAAAATATTTTTGACATTTACGTCCACCCAGTCGAAGAAGTGTGTAAAGACTTTAACGACACTTAAATGATTACGTTTGATCTGAAAAAGAAAGAATTTCAAGAAGAAAATGCATCCCCCTTCGCGTTATGTTCCTAGTTCTCACACAATCTTAATATTTACGTTACCTTTAGATGCCTGATAAAAAAGCCCGAATCAGTTAAGAAACACACACACTTTACTCTATCGAACTCACCTTCCGGGTTAGCTCCACCAGACCACCACTGCAAGATCGGAGGCAAATAAAACAAAATAACTTCTCGTGTTGCCACAGTCACCGAATTAGGCGAGTCTAGGACGCAGGTGAGGCCGGATTCACAACTCTGGCCACTGTGCAGAGGCGACGACAGGCGCGGCTGGCTGAGTGCTGAGACCTGAGAGGATATCCCCTAATGGCCATCCCGCAATCTTTGAACTTTGTCTCCGAGCCATAAACCTTAAAAGTTCACGCGGTGCAGATTTTATGGCGGCAGGGCATCGACTACCTCGTGCAAGCAAGGTTTTTTTTAATGTCATGTGACGTCAGTTACGACGAAGGTGCGAGTAGGGATGCCGTGGAACGGATTTAAGAACTCATCGCTTTCCCCCCCCCCCTAAAAAAGTGACGAGACCGGTTGTTATCAACACACTCTCGAAGAATCGTTAAAATTCCCTCGAGGGAAATAAAATGCTAGTAAACTTAAACCTAACCCAACGAAATTATTCAAGATGCAAACCTGACATATATTTCTCCTAAAATATGTATCCAAATACCTGTAATCGTGAGAGACGAATTTTTAGAATAGCTCTAAAGACATATTTAGAGGCGACAATCGCGGCAGAATATTCTAACAAATTTGTACATCTTGTTCAATGAAACGATGAAATGAATTTCGAACGCACACAATGAGAATCAACAATGCGAAGATAGGCGTACTCCAGATTACAAATATCTACTAGTACCTTTTATCATAAATTCTACATATACAATCAAATGTGTACAAGCACACAACATTAATTAAGAACAAAGTCTCACAATGAAAACGAATTCTACAGTACTGACCAACATTTTGATATATTTAATATTTCAAACGCTGGGAAACATTTGATACAACACAATACAGAGGAGACACAAACTTCAATATCTAATTCAAAACTTTAGCAGATTCTCTGTTGACAAGCGTTAAATTATCCTGCATCTGATACTCTCATGATTTCATGAGAATAATCAGTCAAATGATATTAACATAAACAACACCCCAACTGAAAGGATTTCATTTCAAGAAAAGAATTCTCATATAATGTGTTGAAAGAAACATAAGGAAAAATGAACAACAATCACAATGTGATCACATTACATCATCATCAACAATCACATTAATAGAATTTAAACAAGTGCAAATTCATTAATTTTTGATTTCTCTACAAATTATAGTTGCTTAGACAGGAATTTTTGTCCAAAAATTTAACATTCTCCCCCGTTTTTCAAGCATTTTAGGCCTGCTGCCCAGTTGCTCCTCTATAAAATAATAATTCTCACGTCAATGAACCTACAAATATCTACACATTTTCGAAGATCAGAGGGTCGATTCGAAAAATCTCGTCCTCCTTTACTACTACTTTATGGAACAACTGCATGAATACAACAATGCGATGCTGTGAAACTTTACGAGCCCAGCTTCTAGCCGCAGCCACAGAAGAAAACACGAAATACAAGAGCGAAGACGACGGACCGAACTATGTGCGTCGTAGTTGTAGTCGTATCTATGGGGGGGGGTGCGATCTACGGCGCGCGGAAGGGGGAGAAAAAAAAGGAGCAACAGTGTACAACGAGCCAAACGCCGAAGTTGTGATGTGGTCCGCGAACAATACGACCATAGCGGAGACCGCCACCACATTTCTTCGAGCTGCGCTTCAAGGCGTCGTGAATACCGGGTCAAGGAAGTGCAGAGGAAGGAGGAGAGGGGAAAGGGGGGGGGCGGATATAGTGAGCTTGTAAAGCTGGCAAGCGTCCCTTGTTTATTTACGTTTCCTCTGCTAGGGCGGAGAAGAAAAGCTACTAAATACGCCCGTCAACGACCATCACTACATTATCCCCATCGCAACAACACTCACACGAGACTCCAAGCGCGGCACGGTTCTTTTTTATTCGAGGTAAGTTTTTTTTTTCGTGCAGGTCATTCACAAAATGTGATATTGTTTCAAAAAACAAACATTAAGACATCGTTTAAAAAATAGTCCACATACTACGAAAGTTGTTTACAATCATTTCTGGAAGCATTCTTATCTCTAGTAAGTAAAAGCATCCAGTGCACACAAAAAAAACATGTAATCGTGTACAAGCAATTATTACTAATATCACCCATATCTACATTACGTTGTAGATTCCTTGACCGTTTCCCAAGAAGGTCGTCAATGAATACATTAGACAAGTTTTGCTGCGTTCTTGACTGCTATCGACGTAGTTAGCATTCTATTATTCTGAATGTATACACCAGCCAACCAAAGCAATAGTTTAAGATCCTACAGATGCCCAGTCTCTTCAATTAAAATGTACCGACATGTTAGACATGAAATAAAATGTAGATAAAATGTATATAAAAAAAATGTAGATAATATTGCCATTCTGTCTCAGTTTGAAGCAGTCTGTCACAGGTCCGTTACGGCCGTTGCATTGCCGGTGAAGAACGATTAGAGTAAAAAATAAAGACTTTCGTGAAAGTCGTACTATGAACGTAACGCGGTATTTTATTAATAAAAAATATCTAAAACATCAATACTAAAGCATGAATACAAAATAATATTAATGTATAATTTGATGTAACTAATATATCGCAATAATAAGCTCTTACGTAAAATACGGTTTTGGATTTAACAGCATTCGGAAGATTTAAGAAATTTGATTTTCCAATGATTGTCCATACTGGCACACACGGTATCTTAAAGGGATTTTATTTCGGTATGAAAGTTAGTAAACATCTTTTTTTATTAAGCCCATCCCTTTGCACTCTCGAAGTACGGTGCAAATTATATCCAGTACATTTATTGCATTGTCACGAAATATTTCAGCCTCATTACTACTTCTATGGATTTTCACGAGCACACTATTTGTTTTATTTCCTTACAGCATGCAGGGAAATAATAATAAAATTATGTAGAAGTAACATTAAAACATTTTAAATCTATTTAGCTAGGGGCGAAATAGACAGGTGGAAAATGCACACTCATTGCAGCCACGAAGCATTCTAGAACGTATTTTAAAAATTCCAATTGAAAATTTCATCTGAACAAGACGATTTCAGCAGGATCAATGTTAACAATTCTACAGGTTGGTACACACAAGTTTGTACACTAATGCTTGCAAAAAAGACGAATCGCTTCGGCTCTGATTACCTTCGAGGACACTACACACATTCGGCAAGAAGCGAACGACTGCTTGCCCAAACCGCAGCCGAGGTAGCGCGCTCGGGAAATAGCAAGCACGCCATCCCCGGTACTCAGAGTTCGGCGAACGGTCGTTCGCAACTCGCAGAATGCCGCATGTGTCGAGCAGTCTTTAAAACCACATACTACCAGTGAAACATTCCATCCTTCCAGTGAAATCATGTTGCATTCTCCGCAGGCCCCTGCCCCAATAGTCTATTAACGCCCATGTCACGCGAGAGTTGCGTTGACGCGCGTCGTCGATTAACACCGTATCTTATGCAGAACGGCTGATTCGTTCGCGTGCCGATTGCACACGATACCGCGTTAATCTACGACGCGCGTCAACGCAACGCTCGTGTGCAGGCCTGGGGGAGGGGGGGAGAGAAGGAGCGACACTCACCTGACGTGCGGCGCGGTTGTTGGGTGCAGGCGCCGGCCATGTCGGCGGTCCACCTCCTGCAGCGGCGTGCAGCTCGGGCACGGCAGGGCGTCCACGGCCGGGTCGAGGCGCGCGCGCTCAGCAGGGCTCGCGGCGGCGCGGGCTCCACTCGCGGGCACCGCCCTCGCCCTCAGACTCCGAGTCGGCCGTCTCGCGCGCCGGCGTCCGCCCGCCCGTTCGCCCCGGCCGGTGGCGGTGGCGGAGGCGGGCGGAGCGGAGCGGCGTCGTCGCTGTCGTCGGGCGGGACGCTCTCGCGCACGGGCTCCGTCTGCACGCTGGTGCCGGCGGCGGGGCTGGCCGGGCCGTCCTCGTCCGACGCCGAGTGGAAGGCGGCGGCGCACTCCGACTCGGACGCCGTGCGGCCCGACGGGAACACGTCGGGCTCCGGCGCCACCAGCACCCGCCACAGCAGCGACTCGATGTAGTAGTTGGTGCCGCCCACCACCACCGGCAGCTTGCTCTGCTGCAGCAGGCGCTCTACCTGGCGACGAGTTAAGGACGAATGTCTTCGTGCAGGCAAACATTGACCCAGCAAGAAACTGGTGGGCCAGCGTGACATTACAAATATCAAACTGTTCTCCAACTAAAGATGCATTTTTTGGTTACCTAGTACTGATCCTCTCAGTGCAATTTTGAAACGATTAAAAGCGACTATTATGAGAGATACGAGTACATGCATATTTGCCTGTAACTTTAACATGCGAATAATTGCAACAACAATCACAGAAATCACATGCCCTCGATGTTATCTGACCCAACGTCTCCCCTTAGTCTCCAAATTCATTGTTAATATATAATTAAAATGCACCTTTATTGCCTTGAATGAAAACTAATACCTTCCGATTATTAACCTTACTCATAAACTCCGTTCGCGCTCCATCACTTTACTAGCATTTCAATGCAAATTGGATTACTACTAACATTAGATGACAAGGATCCTTTATAATAAAAATATATTACAAAAATATTCTTGGATCGTTCAAAAATACAGACTTAATTAAAAACTTGAAGAGGAAACGCTTAAGAAGAGGGAGGTACAGAAACGTGACTGATGAGACTTTCACGTCCACGAATCCCCACTTCCCTCCCGAACGCCACGTCAGAAGCAACCCTTTGACGCACACATGGCGCGAAGTTTCGAATTCAACGTAGCGGATGGTGTTTACCAAAAGCAGATTCATCATCCCCGGGCACTCGGGGCGCCCTATCAGATGGAAATAATACCGCACGCGCAACATCTGCACACGCAGAGGCGGCCGTGAAGCGCCCTTCGGGGAGAGAGAGAGTGAGACTTTTAATTCCTCGAGTGGGCGGGGGGAGGGAGGGGGCGGCGCAAAAAGCAGCAGACGCCAGGCGCGTCGTCGTCGTCGTCGTCGTCGGGTGGCGGTGGCGGCGCGGGCAAAAACCTCACGAGGAACGACGCGCCGCGAGGCCGGGCGCCCGGTGTGGGTGGCGTGTGTGCGGCAGGCGCTGCGGGAGACGATTGTGTTTTTTTTCCTTGCCTCTGGTGATATCGAGACGATAATGCTTCTCTGACTTACTATCTGCATCAGCTACACAGAGGATGAGCCCCCACTCAATGGTCTGCAGCATGTTCAAAAATTCAAGATTTTTCTTTATCAAACACTAAGAACGAAATATTTTTACCATAGCAAACGAAATAGAAAATAGACGAACTTGCCAGCAGTTCCAAATGCCGTCAAATACCAGAAAACTGTAATTGAACTGCCACAGATTCGGCGCACGACATTCGGCGCACGACAGAAGTTAAACGTCGATGCAAGAAAGAAAAAACATAATAAGCAAGAACATATCAAAGCAATGCAGCACTGCTGAATGAATTGGGGGAGCGGGGAAGAATATCGGAGCAAAAGAGATGAACCGATTGAGAACAAGAAAGAAAACAAGGAAAACGAGGGACCACAGAACAAGCAGCCCAAAACAAATGTGTGGCGGGTAGCAGTTACAACGTGAGGGGGCAAACGTCGACGACCCAAAGGTGGTGAGTACTTTAACTACTTGCCGTACGGGAAGCGCTTCCTAGGCCCAGGTGCCAGCATTTCGCCCGAGGAAGGTCGCGGAACAGCGACCGAAACTCTGGCAACCTGCGACTACGGACTGCGGCGTCTCCCGGACAGCCAAGTAGCTACGCATGCCAGCCGCGGAAGACTAGCTCCGAGCGAGTACGTTGCCGTCAACGAGGTCAGTGCAGAAGTTGAGCCCCGGGGGCCGCCGCCCGCCCGCCGCGCGCGTGCGGTTCCAAACGCCAACCGCCCACCGCCCGCCCCGCGCCGATGCACGGCGCCGCGCGCTGCCGACGCTCTCGGATGTGACGCGCGCCCAGCGGCATCTGCCGCCGCTCCGGAGGGAGCGCCGCCCGCGCATTTCAAAAGCTCTGCTGTTGAGCTGCGCTCCCGCTTTGAGCCCGGCTCTCCGAACTAATCAAATTGATAAAACTGTAGCATTGTGCGGCTGCCGCAACTTCGCACATGAAATATTGTTTATTCTTGTTGTGATCCGAAATGAGCCTCATATAATTAATTTGCAGAGCCCTTTTTGTCACGTCCTTGTAGCGATTGATGGTGCGCTAATTAAGGATTGAAGAGAGAGATTAAAAAAAACAAAAACACATAATGTATTCATTTTCCGCAAGCTCGTATTTGTAGTAACCATCGAGAGTTCGGTTAAAAGTTTGAAAGCGGCGATTTTATTACGAAGACTACAGGATACGGTTAATCGGTTTTGGATCCTCCCTCGATGCTTGCAAGAAAGCAGACATTACTTTGCATAGCATTCCAATGCCCACGCGTGGCCAAGATAAACAACAGAATAATCAACAAGAAACATTCGCTACGCGCAGCGTGTAGTCACGGTTTCATGTTACCTGGCGCTCACGTCCGATACGCCGCTAAATGTACATGCGCGAGCGTAGGCGCCTTCTAAGAAGAGGCGCAAACATGAATAATTGAGCATCCACCACGGTTATTCGCCTCTGTTTAATGGACGGGACGCGCTGACGAGCGGCGGACGACCTCAGGAGATGCCGAAGCCCACGCGGCAAGCACTCCGTGGGGGCCTCCGCCCGCCGCGCCGGTCAAGTGCGCAACGAGTCGCGGCGCTGTGGCGCAGCGGCGGGGCGCGCGCTGGCGGACCCCGGTTCGTTGCGGCCAACGGCAGGGCAAAGGCACCGGGAGCGGTCACTTCAAGCACAACATTTGATACATAAAAATTGACGGCTTTTGTAGTTGCAGCAAACTCCAAGATCGTGGAGCTTTCTCTTGTAGTGGTTAAGACAAGAACGACTTAGGTAAATTATTTTCTCAAACAAGTTCAGGGAGAGTAATTTCGTTTGACACATACAGATTCAAGAATCTAAGTACTATCAAAATTTCGTAATTTTCAAATGATCAAAATCAAAGGTTGGACATAAATTATTTAAAAGAATACAAGTCCAAAATTGACCACATTTAGACGAAGAGCTATATTCAGAAAGCAGGCATGGTAATCACCCAATCAGTTTCCAATTAAAAAAACAAAAAAACAAGGTAGTTCACGCATTTTAAGAATCATACGAAAATGTTAATAATGGCCACTACTGGTGCATTTATGAATCTGAAAGGAGGAGCATACACGTGCGATGTGTTGTAGTGCACGCGTGTATGTGTGCGTAGTGTGAGATGTGGTATGTGTGAGTAGCGTGTGAGGTGTGTGGTGTGTGTATGTGTGTGATGTGGTATGTGTGAGAAGCGTGTGAGGTAGTGTGTGTGTGTGTATGTGTGTGTGTGTGTGTGTGTGTGCGCGCGCGCGTGCGACCGCGCGAATTGTGGTGTGTGTCTTTGTGCATGGGTCTGTGCGCAAGCTGTGTGCGCGCGCGCGTGCTGTGTGTGCGTCATATATGCGCGCACTTAACCAGTAAAATCAATTTAAAAAAAAACATCATCTTCTAACCTTCGAATAGGCATTCTTTCCATATCTTACAATACTGAAATCATTGTCGGCACGACATCCCTCCCCATTATGGACTTTTTTCTTTTTTTCTTTCTTTTTAGGGTGGTGAACTGCAAGCCAAGAGGGAACCAGATGGCTCATGCTGCGCAACCGCCGGAGGCAAAAGCCCGCTCATTGCTTTCGCAAACGGAGTCTGGACACTTCGAAAACAAACGCCGACGCAAACAACCGATGAGGGGTCTATCCTCCGCGAACAAAACAATTCAGACGACGCTTCAAACATAATGGCGCTACCCAGCCCGATCATCCATTTGCAAACGCGATAAAAACAGCAAATCATACTTGCATTTCGCTTGGGTGTTCTTCTGAGGTTCAGTTGACCATACTAACAACAGCACGTTAAAACGTGAATGAGTATTCTAATAAGAAGCAAAATTTAACTTTATCTCGACACCTCTAGGTTACTTTTTTAGGAAATAGATCTCTTTGGTGGCTTAGTCGATGTCAATATTACTCCATCCACAATTTGATGTACATGTAAAATAAAGGCAAGAATAATATTGTATTAAATCGTCTGAATTGCATTAATTTCATTATCTTAATCTGAAATTCTCAGATAAAAGCCCGAAAGCTCCCAAGTGAAAATTCTAACCCTCAATTACAGAAGGACACTAAACGCCAAGTACTTTCAATTTAGGCTACCGACATAATCCAGAAGACAAATGCTAAGCGCAAACATCACACGAAAGAAAAGAAAAGGATTTCAATGAAAGCGAGGCGGATACTGCGCCATTTCGCTACAGCCCGAGAAGAGGGAAAGGAAATTACTCCAGGAAAAAAAAAAAAGGCATTACGGCCAAGTAGTGCGAAGTACATTTCCGAAGGCAGCACGAGGCGCCGAGCGGGGCCGCTCCGTAAACAAAAGCGCCGATTAACACACTCGGCACGCCTTCCCCAACGCGGGAAGAAAGCTCCCCGGCGCCAATATTAGCATTAGCGCCGGCCACCTCCCCCGCGGGCACGCGATAAAAAAAGACGCGGGGGAGGAGGGGGACGGTTCGATAATAGGGGCGAGCGGGGCGGAGGGGTAAGGTGCTGAGAGAGAGAGAGAGAGAGAGA